TTCTGTTGCAGAGGATCCATAATAATATGGCAACTGCAGAGCATACTCAACTTGTATCACTGTAAACTTTTGAATAGATTGAAGAGGAATAATGAAGCTGAAAGATGTAACTATGAAAAAAAAGAAGATGGAAGCACCAAAAGAGAAAGAGAGGTTTTTAGCCAAACATATTTTTATAAAGGAAGGTTTTTCTTACAAGAGAGAGGTTTGAGTTTTTCTCGATTCTTAGATTTTTCTATGCTTCTTAGATTTTTCTTCTTAGATTGATTACTTCTTAGAGAAGTATCATTCTATTTATACATGAAAAAGTAAAGGACTAGTAGCCTAATAAGACGAGACTAGGACAAAGTAACTTTACAAGTGGCTTAGGATAAGACTAAAGGACGGTGAGTCATAACTAAGGTACAATGACTCATAACTAGGGTACAAAGGTCCATTATTATGGTATAGTGACTCATCACTTAAGGTACAGTGACTAAGCACTATGACTCATACTAAAAACAAAAATACATTATGACTTGACTAAGACATAAAGGTGATGAAGACTTGACATAAGGTTGTCTTGATGTGAAGGCATCATTATCAACTTCTGTGGAGTCTTCTGGAGAAAACTGAAATTAACACGCGTAATTATACAATATTTGGACTGGAGAGGGAATCTTTTGTCTTGTAGCACCATCATTTGAGAGAACGTTGAGTGTGTTTTGGAGAGAGGTTGAGGTGTGAATTATCTGCGCCTGGGGTGAAATCATAGCCGAGGTCGACTAACCATTGGTCTGGATCAAAATCATCAAGTGGGTCTTGAGAATCTTGTTGCCATTCCATTTGTGGGATAACTTCAGGAGGTTTCCAATAAGGATTCCATTCTACTGGGCCTGCATGGTCAAGTTCAAATCTGGTAGTTTCAGAAAGAGGTTCTGTCCAAGTACCATCAAGGCGAGTTTCATAAATCTTTTTATCAATGTTGAGCTGGTAAGTGTACTCTGAAGGATAGTTTCCCCATGGAACTTCATCTTGGATCTCTGGCCAATTTTGCTTTAGAAACTTATGATTCATTTCACAAATTTGTCTCTGAAATTCAGTGTATTCAACTGGGTGATCAAACTGAGAATCAAACAGTGAATATCCTTGAGAGCTGTAAATTGCTGCATAAGGGAAATACTGAGGATCTTTTGTCAAACTGCTGCAAGATCTGTGAAAGATTAAAACAATATGAGGATCAGAAAGAACTTTTGTATATCTCTCATAGGTTTCAATCCATTGGATCCAAATAGGAATGGGTCTGAACTAGGTGAAGAAAATCTTGAGATGTTGTTGACTGGGGTCCAACTGGTGTTTAGAAGGGTTGATGGTTGACTGGTGAAAAAGGTGAAGAAGGGTTTTGAGCTTTGGAAGTGGGAATTCTATACCAATATAGTAAAGGTGACAAAGGTACCATATAAAATAAACTGTTTCTTTTGGGAAACAAAGAGGTTCAGGGAATTTAAAGGGATGGATAAAGGGATAATCAGGGTGTATACCAAGAGATTGAAAAGAAGTGTCTCCAAACTTTCTGAGTGTTTTGGACTGATATTTGAGCAAAAAGTGTGAGGCTTTTTGGTCAAGGGTTTGAGTGGCAAGAAGTCTGGGTAACTCTGGAGGGAGATTTTCTACTGGAAGGTTAAGAAATTCATCAGGGAGATCAAATTCATCATCAAGGTGAGGTTTCTGAGAAGAGGGGAAAAGAGGGTTGGTTGAAGAAGAGGCTTGTGAAGAAGAAGGTGCTGGGTTCATCATGAAAATGACTGGAATAACCTGGAAGTGTTTGAAGGAGGTTTCGAAGGAGGTCTTGTGAGCATGTCTGGGATGAGGTTGTCTTTTCCTTTTATATGCCTGGTGGTGAAGGAGTACTGTGAGAACCACTGTGATAGCCTGAGTAACTGTGCATTTGGCATTTTCTTTTTTTTGAAATTGAGCATCTGATCAAAGGCTGACATATCTAATTCCACGAGAAAGTGAAATCCAATGAGGTGAAATTCAAATCTTTGGATACCATACTTTACAGCTAAAATCTCTTTTAGTGTAGAGTGATAATGGAGTTCCGAATCTTTGAATTTTCCGCTTTTGTAACCACAGATTTGTCTGGTTCCATCTTTTTCTTCAAGGAGAATTGCTTACCAGAACTGTTCACTAGCATCTGTCTGCAGTATTCTTGTACCATCTGAAGGAATCTTTAAAGTGGGAAGTGACTTTGCTTTTATCTTCAAGGCTTGTACTGCTTTTGTCTGAATCTGAGACCACGTGGGAGGTTCTTTTTTGAGCATTTTTCTGAGTGGATATGTGAGCTGGGCAATATCTGGGAGAAATTCATTCATGTAATTGACTATACCGAGAAATTGCTGGATCTGCTTCTTTGAGAGATTTGCATCAGGAAAATCTGTAAGTGACTGAGCAATATGAGGTTGAGCAATGTACTGACCATCTTTGAGATGCATGCCTAAGAAATCAATTTCTGTAGCACCAATGAGCATCTTTTTCTCTGAAAGCATTATCCCATACTGTTGAACTATGCGCTGGAACTTATCCAATAACTGTACATGAGATGTATCATCAGGAGAGAATAGTAAGATATCATCGATGTAAATCAAAGCATTATCAAGAATTGGAGCAAATATCTTGGTCATGGCTTTTTGGAACAGTGAAGGAGCAACTTTTAAACCAAAAGGCATTACGGTCCACTGGAAGTGGTGTTGAGGAATGCAAAACGCCATTTTGTATCTGTCCTGTGGATGTATACCTAGTTGCCAAAATCCTGCCTTGAGATCAAACTTTGAGAAGACTTTTGCATTGGCTAGATTTACGAACAAAGTTTTTCTGTCTGGAAGAGGGAACTTATCATCTGCAAGGAAAATGTTAAGAGGCTTGTAGTTGATTACCAATCTGAGTTTTCCACGAACTTGTTCTGAACGTTTGTTGACATAAAACGCTTCACACGCCCATGGAGAGGAGGTTGGTTCAATTAATCCTTGAGCCTGGAGAAGGGAACATTCTTGGATTGCTTGCTTGAAATGATCTGGGTTCATGCCTGAATGACTAGCTTTTGTAGGATTGGCATTTTCATCTTTCTTGAAGGGAAGGGAAATGAAAAATTCAGGGTTTTGCCAAAGTGGGTGATCACATTTCTGGAGAAAATCTGAGTGAGTTTCTGCACATGAAAAGTGAATGAACTTGTGTTTGAAATCTTGAAAAACATCTGGTTGAAGGGTAAGGGTAAAGAGGTTGGGAAGGTTTATCCAAGGTCTGAAATAACTTTCAAACTTGATACCATTTCCACTAAGCTTTAAACCTGGTATACTGGTCATAATATCAAAACCAATAACAAGGTCTTTCTGGGGAAGTGGAGATCCTAAAATTTTTTGAGTTATTCGACATCCTGGAAGGATTTGAAGGGTAACAGGGTTGCTGACAAAGTCTGTAGAAAATACATTTTCATCAGCGGTTTTGAAGAAAGTTTTCTGTTTTTTCCAAAAGTGTTTGGGTAAGACAAAGAGGGTTTGCTATGGTTTGGGCTGCACCAGTATCAAGAAAGCTGTGACTGTTATAGGAGGGGAATGTTTGTGAGTGAAAATCTGAACTGGAACTAGGGGTAATTTTGGAGGTTGAATGGTTTGGATTTTTTGGAGTTCTTGAACTAACATATACTCATAACATTGATCATTTGTGAAATCATCTGAGTATTCTGAGTAATCTGAATCTGCATACTCATCAGCATCAAACTGCTTTATCATAAACAGTGATCTTTCATTCTGCTCATCATCAAGGGAGAAAATTGATTCAAGATCATCATCTAAGAGATTGATACCTGAGATATTGGCAATGTCTTGGATCATCTTGACTGATTTTTTGTCTGACTTTGGGCAGTTCTTTGAGAAATGTCCTGGTTTTCCACAGAGAAAACATTTTGAGCTTTTGATCTTTGGGTCTTTCTTCTTTCTTACAAATTTGAATCTTTGAAATCTTCTGGGTTTATCAGCATATCTGGAGATTTGTGGAGGTCTAAAAGGTCTGAATCTTCTGAAATGTTTCTTTTTCTTGTTGCTGCAAAAACATGTGGGATCTTTAGAGGAACATTTGATTTGTAATCCTGAAGAGGAGTAAGAACAGGGCTTTTCAAGCTTTTTGGAGTTGTGCACCAAGGTTTTGATGTATTTGTGCTCTTTGCAAATCTTATCAAGGGCTTTTAGCATCATCTTGTAGATGTCTCCAAGGGTCATAGATTTGACATCAAGGGATCTGAGGTTCAACTGGGTTCTTGTTTGCTGGGCAAGTTCTTCTGGAACAGAATTAAGAAATGCTTGCTTTAAGTTGACATCATCGAATCCACCAAGTATGTAGAAATACTGGGAGAATTGTTGATAGTGTCTGTCAAGGTCTTTTGGATGGAGAGAACAGCATTTGAGTCTGAAGAATTGCTCTCTGATCTTTTCTAATCTGTGAGTTTCTTGTCCACAAAAGATTGCTGCAAATTGAGAGACAGCGTCTGTGATTGTTGGGCATTGAAGAAACTGGAGTTGTCTGTATTCACCAATGTTGTCCCAAAAATTTTTCAGGGTTCCAACGAGTCTAGAAACAAATCTGATCAAGACTGTGTTCATCGTAATATTGGGATGAGAATTCAATTCAACAAGTCCCCATGCTAAGAATTCTTGAAATCTTGAGGGCCATTTTGAAGGAGGAACATCATCAATGGTAAAGACTGAGAATTTTGATGTTGAAGGAGGAGCATGTGATTGTTGTGGAGGAGGGTGTTGTTCAGCATCCATTGCATCAGGGTTATGGACTTCTGGAGTATCATCTGGAACTTCAACTGTTGGTTCTGTCATGAAAATCTGAGGGAGCATCATTTCATCTGAATCATCAGTATCATCTGTTTCAACTGATTCTTCTGATTTGACAGTATCCATGTGAGATTCATTTTCAAAGGTAGAGGGAAAAATATCTTCATATAGAACTGAGGAAGGTTATCTTGTGCCATCTGGTGAAGTATTTCTGGAAGGGTTTGTGTAGGAGAAATCATGAGTTGTACAGGTTTTGGTTTGGTTGTGGTGTAGGGTTTTGAGGTGTGGAACTTGAGCTTGGATGTGGTTTTGAGGGTTTGAAGAAAGTGGTTGTTCTGCTACTCTTTTGGGTTTTGGATCAACTGGTTGTTTTTCTCTAAATCTGTGAATCCATTTTTCAGTTGTACCGAAAAGGGGTTGGTCTGGTTGTTCTGAAAGAGGAGTGAAGTATTGTGTTGGTTGTGAGGATGTTGGAATAGATGTTAGGGGAGGTTTGTACTGAAAAGGTGTGAAAAAAGGTTTTGGAGGTGAGGTTGGAGGATTGTATGGTTGAAATGGGAGAGGAGTATAAGCTTGGTAAGGAGTATCATGCATACCAGTATGATATGGTGTGAAGATGTTGTAACTCGAAGCTGCTTGTTGTTGTTGTTGTTTCTGACGAAACTGGTTTTGAAGATCTGCAAGTTGAATCTTTAGGCTCTTCATTTCTTTCTCTCGTTCAGTGAAAGCATAAGTGATACAGTGTTGTTTTCCAGCCATGTATCTGAGTTCTTGATCAAGTGTGATTATCCTTGACTGAATTTCAAGAATAATATTCTGGAGATTGACAAGACTCTGATCAAGTGTTGACTGACTTGGTCCAACTTATGTTCAATTCTGTGCAAGTAGGAATTTTGCTGGAGAGAATTTTCAGTTTGCCAGTTTAAAACTGCTTTCAGCACGAGAAACACTTTTTTGGTTTCCATATTCATCTCTGTCAGTGGGAGTGGGGATTTTTGGAATGTGTTTGTATTGATCTTTATGAAATTCTTCAAAAGGAGGGAAGGTTGAGTTTGGATAGGTTGGTTGCATCATGGAGATTTGTGGTAAAGGTGTAGGTAAAGGTTGGGAGGAATTTTGAGAGGAATTTGGTTTGTGTGTGGTTGAGTTGAGTAGGTTTGAGAGGGTGGTTTGTCTTCTTAGGAATAGATGACATAGTAGTCAAACTTTCCTGAGGGTTCACTAAGGAGATCAACTTCAGGGTCTCCATTTTTCATATCTTTCTTTGAGCTTTTGCTGAGAAAGATTTTTTTTTCTTTTGCTTCTTTGGAATATCATCATCATCAATCATCTAGGAAGCTTTTTATCAGGCATCGATTCTGGCATTCTTTGCATTGACAATTTATGTCTTCAATAGCAATGTCCTGTTTGGAGATTTATATGCATACACGGGATTTCCATTGGACTGAAAGTGTGTGACTGGAACATCAAGGAGATCAGCATGGCATCTTTGCATCATAAACTGGGTTGGAAAGATTGTTGGAGGAGGAACATCCTTTCCTTTGCTGTGATCAAATTCAATTGTGACAGTACCATCCTGGTTTGTCTTGTAGGTTGGATCAAAGTGTTCAATTGGCTAATCTTGTTTCCAAATCTTTTGATAACTTGTCGTCCACGTCTTTGGGAGAAGGGTGGCAAGTTCTTCATTGGAAATCTGCTTTGGAATATGAACATGTTTTGGGAGTTCTATCTGTTGTTTCCATTTTAACAAAAACTGGCATCACTGGAGTGTGAAAGAGGCAAGTTAATGGCATGATCTTGAACTCTGTATGCCATCTGTAGTGAAGGGTTGCCTGGAGGCCTTTCCATTTCTGTGCCTACGATCTGGACTTGAACTTTTAAAGCATCTAACAGGGTTGGATCATGAAGAGACATATTTGTAATTTGGGAAGACTGTGAAGAAGACAGTTCCTGCATTGAGTGTCGTCTCGACGATTCCAAGGACTGCAATGCTTGTAAATCTTTTAAATCTGGTGTCCAATAAGGCCATTCTGGTACAGACAGGAATTCCATTTCTACATGGAAGGTTAAAGTGATTCTGATAGCACCAAAAGTGGATGTGATGTATCCTTGTTCTGACCACTGATGAGGAAATTCTTCTGGGATTTGGAGAGTAACAAGTGCTCTTAGGGTCTGCTGGAAGAATACATTGATCAAAAGTTTGTGGCTTGAACATATTCTTTTGGAGCTGGATATTTGGGTTTTAAAAAGAGTTTTTAAAGATCTGTAAGAGAAGGGGAGGAGTTGAGAAAGCTGTATAAGGATTTATAAGGGTAAACTGTTTGTTGGGTTTTCTTTTCTTCTGGAATATAATATACTTCATATAAGAACTTAAGCTTAGAAGAGGAGGACTTTTTAAGTACAGGAGATGAAGGATACTACCTGCCGCTGTGTGTATAAATGGGATCTATCCTAAGAAAGACAAACCACCCTCTCAAACCTACTCAACTCACCAACCAAATTCCCTCAAATTCCTCCAACCTTTACCTACACCTTTACCACAAATCTCCATGATGCAACCAACCTATCCAAACTCAACCTTTCCCTCCTTTTGAAGAATTTCATAAAGACCAATACAAACACATTCCAAAATCCCCACTCCCACTGACAGAGATGAATATGGAAACCAAAAAAGTGTTTCTCGTGCTGAAGCAGTTTAAACTGGCAAACTGAAAATTCTCTCCAGCAAAATTCCTACTTGCACAGAATTGAACATAAGTGGACCAAGTCAGTCAACACTTTGATCAGAGTCTTGTCAATCTCCAGAATATTATTCTTGAAATTCAGTCAAGGATAATCACACTTGATCAAGAACTCAGATACATGGCTTGAAAACAACACTGGTATCACTTATGCTTTCACTGAACGAGAGAAAGAAATGAAGAGCCTAAAGATTCCAACTTGCAGATCTTCAAAACCAGTTTCGTCAGAACAACAACAACAACAAGCAGCTTCGAGTTACAACATCTTCACACCATATCATACTGGTATGCATGATACTCCTTACCAAGCTTATACTCCTCCCCCATTTCAACCATACAATCCTCCAACCTCACCTCCAAAACCTTTTTTCACACCTTTTCAGTACAAACCTCCCCCAACATCTATTCCAACATCCTCACAACCAACACAATACTTCACTCCTCTTTCAGAACAACCAGACCAACCCCCTTTCGGTACAACTGAAAAATGGATTCACAGATTTAGAGAAAAACAACCAGTTGATCCAAAACCCAAAAGAGTAGCAGAACAACCACTTTCTCAACCCTCAAAACCACACCCAAGCTCAAGTTCCACACCTCAAAACCCTACACCACAACCAAACCAAAAACCTGTACAACTCATGATTTCTCCTACACAAACCCTTCCAGAAATACTTCACCAGATGGCACAAGATAACCTTCCTCAGTTCTCTATTGAAGATATTTTTCCCTCTACCTTTGAAAATGAATCTCACATGGATACTGTCAAATCAGAAGAATCAGTTGAAACAGATGATACTGATGATTCAGATGAAATGATGCTCCCTCAGATTTTCATGACAGAACCAACAGTTGAAGTTCCAGATGATACTCCAGAAGTCCATAACCCTGATGCAATGGATGCTGAACAACACCCTCCTCCACAACAATCACATGCTCCTCCTTTAACATCAAAATTCTCAGTCTTTACCATTGATGATGTTCCTCCTTCAAAATGGCCCTCAAGATTTCAAGAATTCTTAGCATGGGGACTTGTTGAATTGAATTCTCATCCCAATGTTACGATGAACACAATCTTGATCAGATTTGTTTCTAGACTCGTTGGAACCCTGAAAAATTTTTGGGACAATATTGGTGAATACAGACAACTCCAGTTTCTTCAATACCCAACAATCACAGACGCTGTCTCTCAATTTGCAGCAATCTTTTGTGGACAAGAAACTCACAGATTAGAAAAGATCAGAGAGCAATTCTTCAGACTCAAATGCTGTTCTCTCCATCCAAAAGACCTTGACAGACACTATCAACAATTCTCCCAGTATTTCTACATACTTGGTGGATTCGATGATGTCAACTTAAAGCAAGCATTTCTTAATTCTGTTCCAGAAGAACTTGCCCAGCAAACAAGAACCCAGTTGAACCTCAGATCCCTTAATGTCAAATCTATGACCCTTGGAGACATCTACAAGATGATGCTAAAAGCCCTTGATAAGATTTGCAAAGAGCACAAATACATCAAAACCTTGGTGCACAACTCCAAAAAGCTTGAAAAGCCATGTTCTTACTCCTCCTCAGGATTACAAATCAAATGTTCCTCTAAAGATCCCACATGTTTTTGCAGCAACAAGAAAAAGAAACATTTCAGAAGATTCAGACCTTCCAGACCTCCACAAATCTCCAGACCCAGACACAAGAAATTCTCCAGATATGCTGATAAACCCAGAAGATTTCAAAGATTCAAATTTGCAAGAAAGAAGAAAGACCCAAAGATCAAAAGCTCAAAATGTTTTCTCTGTGGAAAACCAGGACATTTCTCAAAGAACTGCCCAAGTCCAGACAAAAATCAGTCAAGATGATCCAAGAACATTGCCAATATCTCAAGGTATCAATCTCTCCAGATGATGATCTTGAATCAATTTTCCCTTGATGATGAAGCAGAATGAAAGATCACTGTTTATGATAAAGCAGTTTGATGCCTGATGAGTATGGCAAATTCAGATTACTCAGAATACTCAGGATGATTTCACAGTGATCAATGTTATGAGAGATATGTCAGTTCAAGAACTCCAAAAAATCCAAACCAATCAACCTCCAAAATTACCCCTAGCTCCAGTTCAGATTTTCACTCACAAACATTCCCCTCCTATAACAGTCACAGCCTTTCTTTTGTACTGGTGCAGCCCAAACCATAGCAAAACCCTCTGTCTTACCCAAACACTTTTGGAAAAAACAGAAACTTTTTCAAAACCGCTGATGAAAATGTATTTTCTACAGACTTTGTCAAGAACCCTGTTACCCTTCAAATCCTGTTCAGGATGGTCGAAAACTCAAAAGATTTTAGGATCTCCACTTCCCCAGAAAGACCTTGTTATTGGTTTTGATATTATAACCAGTATACCAGGTTTAAAGCTTAGTGGAAATGGTATCAAGTTTGAAAGTTATTTCAGACCTTGGAAAAACCTTCCCAACCTCTTTACCCTTACCCTTCAACCAGATGTTTTTCAAGATTTCAAACACAAGTTCATTCACTTTTCATGTGCAGAAACTCACTCAGATTTTCTCCAGAAATGTGATCACCCACTTTGGCAAAACCCTGAATTTTTCATTTCCCTTCCCTTCAAGAAAGATGAAAATGCCAATCCTACAAAAGCTAGTCATTCAGGCATGAACCCAGATCATTTCAAGCAAGCAATCCAAGAATGTTCCCTTCTCCAGGCTCAAGGATTAATTGAACCAACCTCCTCTCCATGGGCGTGTGAAGCGTTTTATGTCAACAAACGTTCAGAACAAGTTCGTGGAAAACTCAGATTGGTAATCAACTACAAGCCTCTTAACATTTTCCTTGCAGATGATAAGTTTCCTCTTCCAGACAGAAAAACTTTGTTCGTAAATCTAGCAAATGCAAAAGTCTTCTCAAAGTTTGATCTCAAGGCAGGATTTTGGCAACTAGGTATACATCCACAGACAGATACAAAACGGCGTTTTGCATTCTCAACACCACTTCCAGTGGACCGTAAT